GGGCATTACATGGTTACACTGCAGAAATTGCTCGACTTTGACGCAAATTTTCCCTGCGATTTCAGGGCAGATCCCAAAAAGACACTTGCCGATCACTTCACTTACTGAGGAACATCGAGAGGCCCCTGTGAGAAGCCAAACCCTTAGTAGTTGCTTAATGCTGTAAAATATACATCAGCAAAGCCAGGCTTGTCGCTAGGATAAAGCAGTCTTCTGAAAAGCTAAGACCTGTGCACAGCTTTGTTTCCGCCACAGATGTCAAGCCAACTTTATTATGCCAAAATGCCACTTCCACAAACCTTCTGTGAACACAGAGTTGACCAACACAATGTTTCGATAAAATCGGCGAATGAAATGGGTGCTCATACAAGATTGTCACCTACGGTTAAAAGACTACGTTTACAGTGCTCAGAACATCACTGCGCCGCCTGTTACACGCAACTGTGATGAGGCGATTGCCAGCGCACTGGAGAACTCATCGATATCCTTGAGATGAGAGAAACCGCCGAGCGGGGATACAGACCTATCGGCTAATTTCAGAGCAGAAGCCCTGGAGACCGAGCAAATGTTAAAACACAACTTTTCGAAGAATTTTCTTATCCCGCTTCAAACATCAGTTCTGCTAATTGGATCCGGTCTAAATAACTGACGCTGATCCGATCACCTTCACTGTTTCTTTGGAATCGGTGCCACGTCACACCGGCGTCACAGACGGGGCCAATAGAATCACCTTGCCATTAATTCACCGCGCTGCTGCATCGAAAATCTATTTACTGGTGAGGGAAGAAGAAATTGTATTAAGAGAGCTAAAAAGCACCACCGACATAGACATTATGACCGCTGACAAAGGCCAACTAACCATTGCCCCCTACATGGTTAACTACCGAAACAACGACTTCATGCTCCTTAAAGATTGAGAATCGAAGGTGAACAGACTTTTGGGTCACCTAAAAAGATGATATCACCACCATCGAAGACTGTTGTATGGTAAAGTTCAGTTGTGCGATTCTCCGGCTTGCCAAATTACAAAAGCTTCACTTTTCCCTCTGGAACGTCCACATAAGGGCTTTCAAACTAGTTATCTCAGAACTTGAAGCTCCTAATCCCGGGCTCACAAACCACAGTACACTCAGCAGAGTAGTTAGCGATCAAAATAAAGGTGGTCACAATCGGACCGAATGAGAACACGATGCTATTTGATGTCACCTCACTCGACCTTAAGGCCTCGTGACCGAGATACCCAGCGGTATGCTATGTCTAACTCAGGACGAGAACGATCACCGATCAATAACGCAAACGCTTGCAGAGCTCAAGAGCCACTGCCTCGAGGCATTCTTTACCTTCGAAGGGAGCCAAAATGAGCAAATTCAGGGTACTCCAGTGCGTTTACCAATCTATGAGCTCCTTGTTGAGGCGGTTCTGCGAAAACCCGAAAGGCAGCTGTTCGAGAAGTACAAAACCCACTTCTAGCTATGTCATGTTGACAATACCTTCGTCACCATCAACCGAGACAGAATAACCTACTAGAAAGAGCGACTGAACTTGACCATCTCCGAATTACAGTTCATAAAAGAACAGTAAATGGAGGATAAATTTTGCTGTTCTTGTGTGTTCTCGTCTCCCGCTGACCGGACGGAAAGTTAGCAACGACAGTCTACGGAAAACCAACGAGCAAGCCCCCGTTGAAACACAAACGAAACTGTGTGCGGACGCAATACTGACCGGTAAAAACTCATTGCAGCGCGGCAGCCACCAGACGACATCAGATGAAGCGCCTTCGCTACTTCCCCAGACTCAACGGCTATTCACGAGCATTTGTTCCGAAGATTCGAATGCCGCGAAGGAAGCAGAATGAAGAATGTGCTCAGACAAAGTCGTGGCGGAGCATTTCGTATATTTGGAGGGCATCTCGAAACTCATGGCTAGATCCCTTGTGCTACGCAGAGCGAGAGTTGCGCACAGGTCTGACTTAACCAGCCGCCGACAAGTGATGCAGCCAAAGGGCCCTATTGTGAAGCAGGATAAGTCGACCATTGTCTGTCAACTTCAGTGCAGCTGCTGAGTACACAACTACGTGGGATGGCAGACGGTTGCAAACGCGAATACGTAGGCATCAGTTGGTCAGGTGAAGGCTGGACCCAAAGCCAGAGGGATGAATCGACGCCGCGCGCCTGGGACAAACCTTGACGCCTTTGAGATTGTGGGCCGAGATGATGATCTTCTAGTAAGATGCAGGAAGCCTGCAGGTCACCTGACTACTCAGTCAATCGCCGCATTAATTTCTCTCGTCCCCGCCTCTCTGGTTTTACGTAACATATTAATGGGAGACAGGCTATTCCAAGGAGAACGGGGGAGGGGACACAGGTCAAATTGAAACGCGGGTCCGATGCAGCATCACGATCTGAGGGAGCGGCCTATGAGACACATAGGGAGCGCTGTACGCAAGAAGCTGAAGTCGCTAGGGATAGATAGACAGATGGACTCACTCCCAGATGCCGCATAATTCTAAGAAACCTCTCCCAGTGAACGCCTTTTCTTCTTATTACTATAGTTAGTAACTGTGTTGTTAGTATCAGATCCTGAACAAACTGAACACTAAGCAACGTCTAGGCTGCAAATGGTATTTGCGTATTATGGGGCAACGGCAAATCAACAGACTTGAATAAATAAGGCGTGATAGGTGGGAACAACACGGCCGTGTGCAGATATCAACGGCAATCAACATAAGTCCTGCCCCCTCCTTCCTATGACTACCATTGCATGTTGGCTTGCTTCATGATTCCCACTCTCACAGTTAGCAAACTACTCCACCCGTCTGACTGTGCTCCCACGCTGTTTATCCCATATCTGACCCCATGCTGTGTACTGCTTAGCGAACCGTTTAATGCTCACACTAGTCGCAAGTCAGGATCAGGCTTACCTACGGTTCATAACAGCGGGATGAACAGGTTGGGCAACCCGATCGCTGAACGTATTATCGACGCAGGTAATATGCCGATCGCAACCGACAGGAGTCCGTGATTCAGGGTTTGGAGCTCAGTGGACTCGAGTTCGAACCTCAAGTGGGCATGGATGACTTGCATGGCCACCTAATGGGGACACGGAAATATCGACGGCCCACAATAAATATGGCCTTGCGCCAAATTCCAGGGCACTTAGGTTCAGGATTAAAGGTGAGCGTTAGGATTGAGTTTAGGGTTAGGTTTAACTTTGTGGGGAGAAGGTGAGAGTTAAGGTAAGGGTCGGGATTATGTTAAGAGTGAAGTTTTGGGTTCGAGAACCGGGGTAGAGTAAGGGTGGCTGACAAGGGCTAATAAATCGAAGGAGCCATCCAGTTGTCCCTTGTTTTAACTCTGTTCTTCTTTTTTTCTACACCTACATTTGGGGCCTTATATTTAGCTCTAATCAGAACTAGCAGGTTCCGTTATCGGATCGGCAAACACACTTCCAACATGTACATACGAGGAAAGGCGACATTAGAAAGAAGCCGAGAATGTTGACTCAGATCTGGTTAGGGCTTATTTTGCCTTCATTCAGCCAATCATTACCCTGACCCACCATCTGGGAAGAGAAACATAAAAGTACTCGGCGCAGATGGTCCAGGAACAAAATCCATTAAATAGTCCGTTAATCAGGGC